AATGCTTGAATGCAATGATGTTAGTAGGATGATATCCTAGAAGTGCATATCTCAGATAGTCAGTGGGAGATTTCTCTATTAAAAGAGATCACTTTGGGGCGGCGCCTGTGGCTCAGTGGATAGGGCACTGGCCCCATATACCGAGGGTGGTGGGTTTGAACCCAGCCCTGGCCAAACTGCAACAAAAAACTAGCCAGGTATTGTGGTGGGCGCCTGTCGTCCCAGCTACTTGGGAGGCTGAGTCAAGAGAATCGCCTAAGCTAAGGAGGTGGAGGTTGCTGTGAGCTGTGTGATGCCACGGCACCCTACCGAGAGAGATAAAGTAAGACTCTTGTCTTTACAAAAAAAAAGAGAGAGAGAGAGAGATCACTTTGGAAGCTAAGTACAGTGATGCACACCTGTAGTCCCAGCTACTCAGGAGGCTGAGGCAGCAGGATTGTTTGAGCCTAGGCAACATAACAAGAATCTGCATCTAGCCTCGGCACCTGTGTCTGAAGTGGCTAAGGCGCCAGCCACATACACCTAAGGTGGCAGGTTCGAATACAGCCAAACAACAATGACCGCTGCAACCAAAAAATAGCTGGGTGTTGTGGTGGGCGCCTCTAGTCCCAGCTACTTGGGAGGCTGAGGCAGGAGACTCACCTGAGCCCAGGAGTTGGAGGTTGCTGTGAGCTATGATGCCATAGCCTCTACCCAGTGGGACAGCTTGGGGCTCTGTCTCAAAGAAAAAAAAAACGAATCTGCCTCTTAAAAAAAGAGAGATCACTTTGGCTGTAAGCAAAAAACTGAAACCTGAGAGTCATGTATATCACCTTTCTCTCTTCATTCCTTACCAATTGCCAAGTCCTAGTCATCCCAGTTCCATGGGACACCCTCATTCCTCTCTCTAATGGTGCTCCTAAAAGGTCTCCCATCTGTCGTCTTTTTTTTATTATTATTATTTTTAAGACAGACTCTCACTCTGTGCCCTAGGGTTGAGTGCTGTGGCGTCATCTTAGCTCTCAGCAACCTCAAACTCTTGGGCTCAAGCAATCCCCTTGCCTCAGCCTCTCAAGTTGCTGGGACTACTACCCAATGTAATGTCTAACACAATGCCTGGCTAGTTTTTCTATTTTTAGTAGAGATGGGGTCTCACTATTGCTCAGGCTGGTCTTGAACTCCTGAGCTCAAGCAATCCACCTGCTTTGGTGTCCCACAGTGCTAGGATTATAGGCATGAACCACGTTGCTCTGCCATGTCCTACCTGTCTTAAGATACTTGGCTACTGGCTTGGTGCCTGCAGCTCAGTGAGTAGGACACCAGCCACATACACCAATGCTGGCGGGTTCGAGCCTAGCCCGGATCTGCTAAATAACGATGATAGGCTCAGCTCCTGTAGCTCAGGGAGTAGGGTGCTGGCCACAGACACTGAAGCTGGTGGGTTCGAGCCTGGCCTAAGCCTGCTAAGCAACAATGACAACTGCAAGCAAAAAATAGCTGGGCGTTGTGGCAGGCACCTGTAGTCCCAGCTACTTGGGAGGCTGAGACAAGAGAATCACTTAAGACCAAGAGTTTGAGGTTGCTGTGAGCTGTGACGCAACAGCACTGTACCGAAGGTGACACAGTAAGACTCTGTCTCAAAAATAAATAAATAAATAACGATGACAACTGCAACCAAAAAATATCTGGGCATTGTGGTGAGAACCTATAGTCCCTGCTACTCAGGAGGCTGAGCCAAGAGTTTGAGGTTGCTGGTGAGCTGTGACGCCATGGCATTCTACCAAGGGTGACATAGTGAGACTCTGTTTCAAAAAAAAACAAAAAAAGATACTTGGCTGCAAACAACAAAGCCAATACTGGGTAACTAAATAGACAAGGAAATGGACAGTTTCTGGGGTACATGCTGAATTCTCCTCCCCCAGGAAGACCCTGGCTTTGACTACCTCCCCTCTACTGCCTCCACGCGAATTCTACTGCCCCATGTCTAGTGTTGATCACTTGTTCTGGATTTGAAGGCCTGGTTAGAAACACTGGAATCATCCTCCAATCATCACCCAACACCTGGGAGAGGAAATTCTGCCTCTCCTCTTTGATTTCCTGGTGGAAAGCAGAACCTGCCTCTGTATGTCATAGGATACCTTCCACATGGGAAGGAATTCAAATACTGGATGCCAAAACAAGTCAGTCTAGGCCAGGTGCAGTGGCTCGTAATCCTAGCACTCTGGGAGCTCCCTTACCATCTTTGTGTGTGTTTTAATAGAGATAAGGTCCTGCTCTGTCACCCAGACTGCTGCACAGCAGCGCCATCATAGCTCACTACAGGTGGATTGCCTGAGCTCACAGGTTCAAGACTAGCCTGAGCCAGAGCAAGACCTCATCTCTAAAAAATGGCCAGGTGTTGTAGTGGGCGCTTGTAATCCCAGCTACTCGGGAGGCTGAGGCAAGAGAATTACCTAAGCCCAGGAGTTGATGGTTGCTGTGAGTTGTGACACCACAGCACTCTATGGAGAGCAATAAAGTGAGACTCTGTCTCTAAAAAAAAAAAAAAAAACGGCCAGGTGTTGTGGTGGGCACCTATAGTCCTAGCTACTAGGGAGGCTGGGGCAAGAGACTCATTTGAACCCAAGAGTTTCAGGTTACTGTGAGCTATAATGCCATGACACTCTATTGAGGGTGACAAAGTGAGCCTGTCTCTATAAATAAATAAATAAACAAAGTGAAACAAGTCAGTCTCCCAAGCCCTAACCCATAGCTTATCTTTTATAGTGCAGCCCAGAGCTCTCTGTGAAAGCAAATCTGACCTGATCACACTACTTCTTAGCTTAAAACCTCCTTGACAGCTCCCCACTAGCTCAAATGGAAGGCCATCCTTACCTCATTTCCAAGGACCTCCCTGATCCAGGCCCATCCTAAGAACTCATCTTCTCTGCTTGCCCCTCTTGCACACCCCTTTGTGTGCCTTTAAACTCTTGCAATGTTCTGCCCTCAGGTGCTGAAAGCATGAGCCCTTCCTGCGTTTGTCTCCAGATCTTTGAGTGTGTAATACCCCTTTCTCCAGAAGGCTCTTCCTCTCCCCATTCCAGTAACCTCAAAACCTGCATGATCTCATTTACCCCTCAGATTTCACTTGGATACAACAGCCTTCACCAAGTGAGGTCTCTGTTCTATATCCCACCAGCCACTACCTTTACTTTTTTCAAGGTACTTACCTTAACTTTCAAATAGATCCATTGACTTTTCTCCCTCTCCATGGCCACCTTGTTATAGTTCAAGCCACTATCATCTCTCTCCTGGAACTCTATAGCCTCCTGAGTAGTCTCTCTGCTTCCACTCTTGTACCTGGCAAGAGTCCACCAGAGTGACTTTTTTTTTTTTTATTGTTGGGGATTCATTGAGGTTACAAGATACTAGGTTACACTGATTGTATTTGTTAGGTAAAATGTCTCTTATAATTGTGTCTTGCCCCCCAAAAGTGTGTCACACGTGGAGACGCCACTCCCCTTTCCTCTCTCTGCTCTTCCTTCTTCCACCCCTCCATCCTCCCAGAGTGATCCTTTTAAAGTATCCTTTCAAAAGTTTCCCATTTCACTTAAGAAAAAAGTCTCAAATTCCTGGATATGGTCTACAGAGCCCTCCTTATCCTATCTTTTCTCCTCTGTCTCATTTCAGACCAGTTGAACGTACCAAACTTATTCTAAGGCCAGAACCCTTTGCCCTTGCTGCTGCTGCTTCTGCTTGGTCTGCTCAAATACCAGACTCTGAGATCATTCCCCTTTCTTTCCTTATTTTGTCTTAATGTTGCAATAGCACTTACCACACTCTGAAGCCATGTATTTATTTGCTTATTTACAGGACCGTTACCTTTATCTTCCCCACTTGTAGTATATAAGTGGGGAGCTTGGCTATCTTGCTGCCACCACAGTATTCCAGAATCTGGCTCAGTGCCTAACACAAACCCTGTGCTTTGTAAGTATTTTTGGATGAATGAATGCACAGAGATCAGAGAAGCCTAGCTGAATCAAGCTCTGCCTTACTCCCCAAGTTTGGGCAAGCCTCTAACACTTCCTGCTGTGTGAAGTAGGAGCTAGGAGTGGAGTGCTGAGCTAGAAGGTGTTGATTAGCAGTAAAAATTTTAGCCTTGTTTTCCTCTCGTCTACAGCCTGAAGCCAGCTACTCGACGTCCGGGGCCTCAGGACCCTACCTGTATAATGGGTGGGAGCTTATCCCAACGTTCAAGGGTGGTGATGCTGCCTTATAAGGCAGCGAGGCCTAGGGAGGGTGAGGCCGTGTGGGTGGAGAGCCATCACAACATCCTGCTGCGGGGGCGGGGCAGAGGCGGGGGCGGGGCAGAGGCGCCTGCGGCGCCTGGGCAGGAGGTCGGGAAACTGCTGAGGAGGCAGCCAGCCTCTTCTGGGCCTCTCCTCGCTTCCAATGTGCACTTTCCGGGATGGACCGACCCGAGAGAATTTAGGTGGACAAATGGACTAAACAAGCTCGCGGCGGGACACTGAAGGCCCAGGATATTGACCGAGTCCCTAACAAAACCCTAGAAAAGCCATCAGCAAACCAAAGGGTTCCGGACCACACCCCCAGCAGATGACCCAATCAAAATTCACTTCTGGAAATGACCGACGCTAGCTTCATCCAATCACACATCCTGTCCCTTGGGCGTGACCCAGAGGACCCACCTTCGCTGTGCCGGAGGAGGGCTCGCCCCTAATTGGCAGTTGGGTACCCTACGAAAGCCTAGAAATTCGAACCTAGGGGCTGAACCCCGCCCTCAGACCAACCAGGAATGGATGACGTATTAATCCCGCCCCTATACTCCTCAGACCGAATCCGTGGCTCCAGGGGCGGGGGATGATGAAGAGAAGGCTAATGGAAAGATGGCGCGGGGAGCGTCCTCCCAGTTATTGGTCCAGTAAGGTAAACAGAGGGCGGGGCGGGGCGGGCCGGCGCCCGGGTGGCCGCGGGAGGAGGCGGAGAGTGCGCGGCGGGTGGTGGCGGCCGGGGAGGCCGGGGAGGCCGGGGAGGCCGCGGCGCGGTCACTGCGAGCTGAGCCGAACTGCGCTGATCGCCATCCGGGCCCAGCCCTCGCGCGCGATCCTACGGGCCCTGTGGCGCCGTAGCCCATGGAGCTCGAGAACATCGTAGCGAACACGGTGCTACTTAAGGCCCGAGAAGGTAAGGCGGGCGGCCGGGTGGTCGGGCCGGGTGCTGGGTGCCGGGAGCGCGGGCGCGGGGCCTCTGAGCTCGGCGGAGCGCCCCAGCCGCCTGATCCCTTGGGGTCTCGGGCTCCGCGCCCAGCAACCTGTGCAGACACGAGCCCTTTTGGCCTTTAGTCTTCCTCCACAGCACCTGCCCTTGGTATCTCAGGTCCAGGAAGGGGCGGGGGTCAGACCGCCGCCCTCGAGGCGGGGGCGGGGGTGAGGGGAAGAGGGAAGGAGAGAGGAAGGAAGAGGGAAGGGTGGGACTTGAGCCGCAGTTGAACCTCTCTAAGGCTTTTTTCAGGTGAGAGGTGAGACGATGCCCCACGTGCCCCAGGCCCAGGCTTCATCTCCCAGCCTGACCCTGCGCAAAGTTGGTGTTAAGTAAAGGTTGGAGAATGAATGAACACAGCCTTTGCGTAGCATAGCCTGCCAGACTTGGGGAAACTTCTGGTCACAAATGCTATTAGTATGACTGCCACTTCCTTGGTGCCTCAGGACACTGAGGACAGAGGCAAATGGGTCACAATTTCTGCTGTTAGAAAGACCAAGTTCTAGTGGGCTAAGCTCACAGGAGCTGTGCATGTCGGGCTGTCAGGACTATAAGTGCGAAGGCCTGTCTGGGGGAGCCAGACTGGAGGAGAGCCAAGCTGGTGAACTGAGTGTGTGTGTAGTTCCTCATGGCTCCCACCAGATGTTGTCAGGCACCTGCTTCCTCCCACCTGCTCTGGGGACACAGAAGAGCCAGACCTGGTTCTTGCTGCCCTGTGGTCAGTCTGCCCCTCACCTGCCATAGCCCATCTAAGTAACATCATCACTGGAGATGTTCCTCCACCATGTCCGGGTGCTAGTGAACTAGCAGTGAACAAGACTCTTCTTTTTGGAACTTTGGGGTAGGGAGATCAAAGCAGCTTTTCTACTCTTTGCTGGGCTTCAAGGCTGAAAGAGGTATCAGCTTCACCTTTCTGACCCATTTTATAGATGGGAGGCTTAGACCAGGGACTAGTGCCAGGTTACACAGCAAGATTGTGGTTGACTCAAGCTAGGACCCAGGACACCCAGTTCAGTCTGTAGGAAGGCCAAAGGAACCCCCAACTGGGTGCCACACCTGATACTCCCTGCTCACCCTGATGAGGTTCTGCTTGGAAATGGGCATGGCAGCCTTGGTCCTTAGTGCCTAGCAAGACTGTCTTATCTCCTGTCCCTTATTGAGCCCAGAGGCAAGGCCTTCCTCCTAACCTCTGGGGGCATCTGCTGATTCTGTTCTGCCTCGTCATCCAGCCAGCCAGGGAGGAGGGGTAGGAAGAGCCCAGACAGGCCTCCCTCCCTCGGGCTCTAGCCAGTTCAAGCCTCAGGCCTGCTGGGGGCACTGCCTTTCCTGGCCAGAGAGTGTAGGTACCTTCAGATGAGCTTTGTGAGGGCATGGGCAATGCACAGGGTGGTATAGCTAGACTAGGGACTGGTGACTCTGCTGGAGAACCAAGCCCTTCCCACCTACATGAATTTAGACAAATCTGTTCTCTCTGATTTTCAGTATCCCTTTTTATGGAATGGTTGGGATGGAGCATGAAGACAAAAGTAAATCCTGATTGGCACTGGGTCCTGAACCAGATCCATGGCTGCATCAGAACCATTTCATGAGCGGGTTAACAGCTTGGGGCCAGGGCTTTTGCCACCTTCGTAAGCCTTAAGTGGTTTGAGAACCCTTGGTATACATACACAAGTTGATACCTAATAGATACCAGGAATGTTGGGAATAGGAAAGGAGCTTGGATGGTGAGGAGCTGGGTATGAATTCTGCCACTGTCACTGGCAGGCTGTCTAATCAAATTGATTCTTCACTTTAGGGCCTCAGTTTTCTCATGAAAGTGGCCCTAATCTGGCAGAGGAAAGAGAGGAACTACACTAGGGATGTGAGCCCCTTGCTCAGTCCTCCTTCCTTTCCAGACACCCAGAGGCACAGGAGGGAGCCAGCATAGGGTGGAGAAGAGCCCCACTGACTGACTGCCGCCCAGGACAGGATATTTGCATGTGACTCTTTGCTGCTGCCTTGATGTGGCTGGAGGAGGGGGAGGAGGAAGTAACTGCTGAGGGGTTAGGGGGATGGCGGGTTGGGTGAGGGACCTCGGTGGGGGAGGAGTTCCCCTTCTGAGGAGGCCTTGCCCTGGGTTGGGCGTGCGGTTCTGTTGCTCACTGACAGTGAGGCAATGGCTATGGGGTATGCAGGGTGCAAGGGTGCAGGCTGCAGGCCGCCAAAGTCTACTAGTAGGTTTCTCAAGGGGGCCGTGCAACACTTCCTTCTCCAGGCAGCTTAGGTCAGGGAGGCATCAAGGGCCCCAGCCCTTCCCACTCCCTAGAAGGTAGCTCCTCCTCCGGTACCACCTGCCTCCACCCAGCTAGAGGAAAACAGGGCTGGAAAACCAGAGGGGAACTGAGGCCCAGCAAGGGAAAGTGGTTGCCTGAGGTTGCCACTGAGTTGTTGGAGCTGGGCCTTCCTCTTGCCACAACCTTATTGGGTGCTGGACACAGACTGTAAGTGATGGGCCAAAAGTGTGAATTGGAGATTCAAACCTGGTCTGTGAGACTCTAACTTAGGCCCCTTCCACTATTTCCAACCTGATGGCCCAAGGCCATGTTTAGCTAGCTCTCTGATGCATTTATTTATTTGGCTACAGTGAGGTTTTTTATTTTTATTTTATTTATTTTTTTTGAGACAGAGTCTCAGTATCACCCTGGGTAGAGTGCTATGGGGTCACAGCTCACAGCAACCTCAAACTCTTGGGCTCAAGCGATTCTTTTGCCTCAGGCTCTCAAATAGCTGGGACTACAGGAACCCACCACAATGCTTGGCTATTTTTTGGTTGTAGTTGTCATTGTTGTTTGGCAGACCTGAGCTGGATTCAAACCCACCAGCTCTGGTGTATGTGGCTAGTGCCCTAGCCACTGAGCTACAGGCACCAAGCTGGTTTTTTATTTTTTATTTAAAAATAAAATAGGAAACATGTATTTCATGTAACAGTCTGGATTTCTAGCTGCTTTTGAAAAATCAGAACTGCCCACACTGAGCCTGAAACCTACTTAGCAACAATCAAACAATTCCCTGGAGTTGTGCTGCAGCTGTCCCTGGGAAAGGGGCATTCACCAGTCCAAATCACCATACTCCCCACCACTCCCTGTTGTCTCACATCTGGCCCACATTTACAATACCCATTGGGCTCTGTAGTCATTTGGACTACTGCTGTGATCTCAGCAGCTACAGATGGGGACCCAACTAGGTAAAACGAGGCAGGTGTTGGGGCCAGAGAAACCTCTATGTACAAGGGAGGGGGTCCTGAGTGGCATTCCACTTGTCCACACCTCCCTTGACTCTCTGATAACTCTAATGTGGGGCCAGAGGCTAGGGAGCCCCGAGTGCGAGGCTGCCCTCTGCCCCGATGTGTTCCACATGTCCTGGAATCTCTTCCTTCTGGGCCTTGACTTTTGTATTTCCCACCATTGTGATGCCCTTCTCTACTTTCTTCACATGGACAACTCCTACCTGATGGGAAATAGCTGAGGTTGGGCCCCTTGATCAAGCCACTTGGAATACCCTCCTTCTCCCCTCAGTGGGCTCACTGACCATCTTGGCTCTCCGAGCCTGAGAGCCCCTAACAGGAGGTCCCAGGCAGATGTGTGCCCTAGAATACAGCAAGGGCATGCCAGAGAGTGGAGAGGGAAGCCCTGAGGTACTTCATGGGGTGAGCTAGCCCTTGAAGACCTCTGGACCACAACGAAGGTTGGGGGTTGGGGGAAGAACAGGACTTAAGACCCAGTTCCTGATTGCTCCCACAGGTGGTGGTGGGAATCGCAAAGGCAAAAGCAAAAAATGGCGGCAGATGTTACAGTTTCCCCACATCAGCCAGTGTGAAGAGCTACGTCTCAGCCTTGGTGAGACCTGGGCGGAGAGTGGGGGTGCTGGGGGAGCCTCCCCTGAGACCATGCCCTGGGGCAAAGGGACAGGATTAGGGGTCCAGTGAGTAGGAAGATGGAGGCTGCTCCACCCAACCCAGTTTCAGTTCCTGGGCTTGGGATGGGTGGAGGGCAAAGAGCACGTAGGCACTGCTGGTGGGCAGCTGAAGTGGGTGTAGAGAATAGGACAGGGGTAACTGGGGGTGGCCTGAGAGAAGCTGAGAAAGGAAAAATCAGGCCTCGCAGAGAGAGCTAGCCAAAGTGAGTAGGGCCCATAGGACAGAGGGAGCAGCGGGTGCTGATCCAAACCACAGATTGATCACCTTGGGAGCCCACCCCTGGTGTGCCCAGAAGACCTCAGTCTAGGCAGTGTGATAGGGTTACTTCTAGGAGGGGACAGAAGGGCTCAGACTTTCTTAGTCAAGGCCCCAGGTCTGAGCAGTACCCAGGGTGGTTCAGGACCTCTCTGATGGCTTGTGAGCAAAGTACCATGGCTACTTCCACCTCCTGGGGAGGAGGCCTGGCTTAGAGCACGCCGGAAGCCACAGCTTCCTCTCATACTTTCGCCAGGCAAGCAGCAGGTGTGGGCCTAGCCCCAGCCGGGTCGGGCCGGAACCTCACAGACCACACCCAAACCCAGCACTGGGACATATGCAAGTCGTGTACATCGGGGCAATGAATGGGGAGCACATGGAAGTTTGGGCTCTGTACTCAGACTTCTGGCCATGTAACACTGAACTAATCGGTTAACCTCTGTGCGCCTCACAGCCCTTAGCTCTGTTGGAAATAATGGTAGAGCCTACCTCAGAGTTGTGCTGAGGGGTCACAGGAGATCATGGCCACCACACTGTAGGGCTGAAGCTGCTGCTGAGGCCTAGGGCCCAGTGGTGTGGGCAGGAAGACCCAGCCAATGGACTCCAGGGCTATGACCCCAGCAGCTCCAATCTCTGCCTGCAGAGCGTGACTACCACAGCCTGTGTGAGCGGCAGCCCATTGGCCGCCTCCTGTTCCGTGAGTTCTGTGCAACAAGGCCCGAGCTGACCCGCTGTATTGCCTTCCTGGATGGGGTAGTGAGTATAGCCCAGCCCAATACTGAGGGTGGGCAGAGGTCCTGAGCCCCATGTGCCCCATCTTTCCAGACCCCAAGCCTCTCTGCCTCCCACCCTGCAGGCTGAGTATGAAGTGACCCCTGATGAGAAGCGGAAGGCATGTGGGCAGCGGCTAATGCAGAATTTTCTGAGCCAAACGGTGAGTGAGCAGTGATGGAGAGATGACAGCCATAGGTAGTGACAAGGAGAAGAGTGACCACAGCTTGGACAGAGTACCCTGGGGCTGCTCCAGGCAGCATTGCTGACACACAGCCTTAGGGGTAGGCCAAGCTTGGGGATGGGTGGGCCACAAGGGGCTCTGCTTCACTCTGCCTCAGAAAGGGTATTCAGCAGCCTGGCAGGTTGGCATACCACTGTCCTGAGATATTTGACATCTCTGACCTGGGAGTGGGCAGCCATCCAAGGGAACTTCCTGCACTGACCAGTCTGTGGCCTGTCCCCAGGGTCCTGACCTCATCCCTGAGGTCCCTCGGCAGCTAGTGACTGACTGTGCTCAGCAGCTAGAGCAGGGGCCCTGCAAAGACCTCTTTCAGGAACTTACCCGGTAAGCCCCTCCCTGCCCATAGCTGGGGAACTGTGCCCACAGGAGGGGGCTTCTATGGGCTGGGAAGACTCTGAACAGTGTCTAGTGAGGGAACTCAGCTTCTCACCCTGGCCTTGGATCTGGCAGGATGCCTCCCATCTCAATAGCATCCTCAGCTTCAGCATGGGATGTGTGTCTCCCTGCTTGGTAGGTTAGCAGGAAGATTAGCTGACGGTACTGTCTTGTGGGCTGAGCACGCACATAATGGTAGGCTTGGGTTGACAGGGCTGACTGGCGAGCTGTGCCTTCCTTCCCTTATAGGCTGACCCACGAGTACCTGAGCGTGGCCCCTTTTGCTGACTACCTCGACAGCATCTACTTCAACCGTTTCCTGCAGTGGAAGTGGCTAGAAAGGTGAGCTCCTTAACGGCTGGGCCATGATAGCCAGGTCACTGGAGTTCTTCGTGGGCCTTGGACCTTTCTCAGCCAGCATTTGCTCCCCTACCCTGTACCCACAGGCAGCCAGTGACCAAAAACACCTTCAGGCAGTACCGAGTCCTGGGCAAAGGTGGCTTTGGGGAGGTGAGTGGGCAGGCTGGTGCCCCAGGCTGAGTGCACAGGGTAGGGTAGGGTGGGCCCTGGACCAGCCCCTACACTCCCAGCAAAGTATAACTGGTCCCCATTTGTCCCTCTCTATCCTGGCCACAGGTGTGTGCCTGCCAGGTACGGGCAACGGGCAAAATGTACGCCTGCAAGAAGCTGGAGAAGAAGCGGATCAAGAAGCGAAAAGGGGAGGCCATGGCACTCAACGAAAAGCAGATACTGGAGAAAGTGAACAGTAGGTTTGTAGTAAGTACAGAAAGGAGACCTTTCCCTTCCCCTTGGCCACTCGGGCTCCTGCTGCCCGCCTGGGTGTTGCTGTGAAGGGCAGTTGGGGTGTTGGCACCAGGCCTGGGAAGCAGGCTAGACCCCAAGGAGTGGCATTGAGAAGGATCTTTTGGGTGGCTAATGTTAGCCCACCACCAGGCAGCCCAATAGCTCCTGCCTGAGGACTCGGGTCCCCTTGGCCACAGGTGAGCTTGGCCTATGCCTATGAGACCAAGGACGCCCTGTGCTTAGTGCTGACCCTGATGAATGGAGGTGACCTCAAGTTCCACATCTACCACATGGGCCAGGCTGGCTTCCCTGAAGCACGTGCGGTCTTCTATGCTGCTGAAATCTGCTGTGGCCTGGAGGACCTGCACCGGGAGCGCATTGTGTACAGGTGGGGGCCTCAGCCCTTCCCTGGGGTACTGCAGCCAGCCACAGGTGGAGTGGCCAAGGCTGCTGATCAGGCCAGACAGTGGAATGATATTCCTAGGGCTGTGACCAGTCATCAAGCCAGCGCTGGCAGGGCTGGTGGTGGAGAAATGGGGGACCATCAACACCCACACACTAGGCAGCATGAGCTACTCAGACTTAGGCTTTGAGGTATGGCCTAGGGACTCTCAGCTTGGTCATTGTCTCTGTGTGACTTTGGGCCAGTCAGCTCCCTGCCCCCAATACTGCTTTTTTTCCTGGATAACAGACCATAATTCCTATCTCTTAGGTTGTTGCAAGGGCCCAGTGAGATAAGGTGGTTAAAATAAAAAGTTCCTGGCATAGAGCCTGGTGCACAGCACTTGGTAGTGGAGAACTCTGGTTATGATTATTACTGGCAGTGCCTTCATACAGCAGTTCTGTGAGAGGATGGATGAGTAACCCCATTTGACAGAGAGAAAATGTAGTCAGCCACCAAAGGACAGGGAGCTCAACACCAGGAGTGAACAAGGCCTTTCCTGGAGAGTTCTAGGAGTCCTAGCTATGAAAGTCCTTCATCCACTCCCTTGAGTCTGGGCTGTCTGTCACCCTGGCAGAAAAAGGGTCATGCATCTTACTCTACATCCAGTCTCATGAGGTGGGTGAGTCAGGAGCTGGCCCTGTCTGGCTCCCTGCAAGCTGAGCTGCATCTGCCCCTGCCCTTCTCTCCTCATAGAGACCTGAAGCCAGAGAACATTCTGCTGGATGACCACGGTGGGTGGAAAGGCCCAGGGGAGGGGAGGATGAGGTGTGGAGGCCTGGGCTGCTAACAGGCTCTCCCGTTTCTCCACCTGATTTCAGGCCACATCCGCATCTCCGACCTGGGACTTGCTGTGCATGTACCTGAGGGCCAGACCATCAAAGGCCGTGTGGGCACTGTGGGCTACATGGGTAAGTCTTCCCCTGCATGGTCCCCTGGCCTCCTGGGTCCCCTCCCTGTCATGGGCCCCAATCCTCCCTCCTCCTGTCTGGAATTCTCCTGTGCCTCCCTGCCTCAGTAGAAAGGGCCCATACTGATGTTCCCTTTTAGAGATTAGGAGACCAAGACTCAGCCAGGATCCCACAGAGCTGTGGATCCACATCATTGATTCACTAAATACTTGCTAAACCCTTAGTTCACTTGAGTCCATTCACTGCGGGTGGCCACCAGTGATGGAGGAGGGAGACTCAAACTTGTTTCCATGGCCCCAGCCCTGCCCCCCTGAATTTCCCATGCTTGGAGTAGGTTTGCCCCTACGTAGAGGTGGCCAGTAGCCTCATAGTCCCCTTAGGGACTGGCTCTGCAGGCAATACCTCTTGCCTGTTGTGTGGCCTTGAGCCAGACAGACGCTACTTCTCATTTTGCTCAACTGTAAAGCTATCATCATACCTGCCTCCCAGGGTGGCCTTGAAGATGAAAAGAGATAGTAGAGGGAAAGTTCCCCATGTGGCTGCCCTGGCAGGTAGGAGGGAATTCAGAAAATAGGAGTTTCCTCCTTCTCTCTGATGTTAAATCCAGAAGTTACAAACTGGTAGCCATGTGGGCCCAGCTTGGCCTAATTTGTATTTAAATCAAATTGTTTTTAGAACAATTTGAATTGGTTGCCATCGTTTAATAAGCCAGACTGTGTATCATAAAAAAATACAGATTTCTGGCTTCTCTTGAAAAATCTGCTGGCCTGGGCATCCTGGGTGTGGCCTTCTGCAGGGTCATATCGAATCCTTCTGGTGGGGCACGTGCTGTCCTCCTTGCTGGGGTACCCGCCAAGCTGCCACCACTACGTACCTGGACAGTGGGGGTTTGAGTGGATCCCTGTCTGAACAATGCTCTTGGGTGTTCCTGGGGCCTGAGGGTCTGCTCCCACCTCCTGCCTAGCCCTAATCTCATGCCACCCGCCCAGCTCCGGAGGTGGTGAAGAATGAGCGGTACACATTCAGCCCTGACTGGTGGGCACTGGGCTGCCTCTTGTATGAGATGATTGCCGGTCAGTCGCCCTTCCAGCAGAGAAAAAAGAAGATCAAGAGGGAGGAGGTGGAGCGGCTAGTGAAGGAGGTGCCTGAAGAGTATTCAGAGCGCTTTTCCTTGCAGGCCCGCTCGCTCTGTTCCCAGGTATGGCAACTGGCAGAAGGCTGATCAGCCAGGGCTGAGGGTGAGTGGCCTCTCCCACCCACCCACCCACCCACCTCTGCCTTGCCATAGCTCCTCTGTAAGGACCCTGCTGAGCGCCTGGGTTGTCGTGGGGGCAGCGCCCGGGAGGTGAAAGAGCATCCTCTCTTCAAGAAGCTGAACTTTAAACGTCTGGGAGCGGGTATGCTGGAGCCACCCTTCAAGCCTGATGTGAGTGCACTCACCCCTGCTGAGGGCGGGGCCAAGCTGTGGCTGGGACTAGGGGGCTGGAATATTTGCCAGGACACTTTCAGTGCAAGCTTCACAAAACCCCACCTAGTGGCTTAACCAAACAACAACAACAAAAAGATAATTCACTGGTACTTTACAAAACTGAAAAGTCCCAGGACAGGTCCAGCATTTAGCTCCACCAGTATTATAGGAGTTCTCTCTTTGTCTCTCCTTTTCTTTCTTTCTTTCCTTTTTTTTTTTCTTTTGCAGTTTTTGGCTGGGGCTGGGTTTAAACCCACCACCTCTGGTATGGCGCCCTACTCCTTTGAGCCACAGGTGCCGCCTATGTCTCTCTCCCTCTTCCTCCGTCCCCCTCTTTTCTCCCTTCTCCTCTCCTTCCCCATTGTGCTGTCTGGTATGTAGTCTTCACTCTGGGGCTGCTGTCCCCAGGGTGTAGTGCTGGTGGCTACCAGCAACACAGGCCCACGTTCTCCAGATCAGCCACACTAGTTGACAAAGTACCTTTTGCCCAATAACTTCAAAAGACATCCTAAAAGGGGTGGGCAAAGTGTTAGGGCTGATGGTTGTTGCCCTTGATAGCACAGAGGTCCTTCACTGGCCACACCTGTGTCCTGTCCCCACTTGGACTACTGCCAATAGGAGAGGTCAGTTCCCCAGAGAAAAGCCAGGCTACTGTTGCCAGCAACAGGGGGAGGGCTGTTGAGCTGATTGTCCCTCTGTGTCCAGACTACTCACTCTTAGAGAGTCTCACATGTTCATTAAGCATCTCAATGAGTCAGGCACCTAGCAGGCAAGAATGTCCTCTAGTCATTAGATTCCAAGTGGCAGAAACCCAACTCAAACTCACTTGAGCCCAACATGGAGTTTATTGGTTCATTTGGCTAGAAAGTCCCAGAGTAGGGCCAACACCAAGGTTTCATGCTGTGTTGCCAGGCTCTTGTCTCTGCTTCAACCTGTTGACTATTTCCCTCCCACTGAATTTAGTTTTCTCTGTGTGTAAAGTCTCAGAGAAATTTCTGATTGGCCAAGATTTAGCCCATGTGCAGGCCCCCTCCCATTTTTATAAGGACTGGGTCCTCTGATTGACAATTCACTAGGAACACCAAGGACACCTGAAGGTGATATGCAAGCCAGGTTGATGGCTGTCAACCACACAGATTCTATTCATTCAACAAATAGTTAAATGCCTGTTGTATGTGCCAGACTTTGGGGAGAATGAGCTGTGCAGGACTTAGTCCTGCCCTTATGTTGTAGGGAGGAGACACACCCAAATGAAGCAATAAGCAAGAAAGAATTTCAGGTAACTGCAAGTGTGACAAAGAAAACTACAGCAGGCTAAGATGAAGGCAGGGAATGATGGGGGTGGTATTTTTGATGAAGGGTAATTTTTAGACAGGGTGGTCTTGAGGAACTGATGGTTAGGCAGAAACATGAATACATGAAGGAGAAAGCCACGCCAAGATTTGGGGTGTGAGCATTCCAGGCAGAAGGAACAGCCAAGCATTACAGTTCTGAGGCAGGCTGGGCCTTGTGAGGTGAACAGCAGCCAGGAGGTCTGTGTGGCTAGAGAGAACGTGTATAGGCACAGAGGTATGGGCACATTCTAAGTGAGATGGGGTTCTGCCAGAGCTGCATGGCTAGCTCATGTGGGCCTCACTGCGACCCCAAAAGGTGGTTTTCATAGGGACTTGAACACAGCGAGCCTGACTTTCATCAGCTTCTGTCAGGCTGGCACTGCTGCTCAAGTTTATCCCTACTTCCTGTGCACATCATCTCATTTAACCTTGAAATTCTCCCACTGTCTCTGGATCTGTTGTTCAGAGTTAGAGATAAAATCAGTGCCCCTGGGCAGCATCTGTGGCTCAGTGGGTAGGGTGCCGCCTCCATATACCGAGAGTGAAGGGTTTGAACCCGGCCTTAGCCAGCTAAAACAGCAGTGGCAACTGCAACAAAAATAGCTGGGTGTTGTGGCGGGTGCCTGTAGTCCCAGTAACTTGGGAGGCTGAGACAAGAGAATCACCCTAGCCCAAGAGCTGGAGGTTGCTGTGAGCTGTGACACCACAGCACTCTACCAAGGGCAACAAAGTGACACTCTTGTCTCAAAAAAAAAAAAAAAATCAGTGCCCTAGAGTTTTACTTTTTAGAAGCAGTAGATGATGATCTATTTTTAAACATCTTTATTGAGATTTAATTCACATACCATACAGTTCATCCATTGAAAATGTACATTTCATTGGCTTTTTAGTAGCTGAGAGCTGTGTCCATCACTACAATAAATCTTAGAATATTTTCTTTTTTTTTGCACTTTTTGGCCGGGGCCGAGTTTGAACCTGCTACTTCCAGTATATGGGGCTGGTGCCCTATTCCTTTGAGCCACAGGTACTGCCCTTTTTTTTTTTTTTTTTTTTTTTGAGACAGAGTCTTACTATGTTGCCCTCGGTAGAGTGCCGTGGCATCACAGCTCACAGCAACCTCAAATTCTTGGGCCCAAACGATTTTCTTGCCTAAGACTTCATAGCTGGGACTACAGGTGCCCGCCACAATACCTGGCTATTTTTTGTTGTTGTTGCAGTTGTCATTGTTGCTTAGCTGGCCTGGGCCAGGTTTGAACCTGTCACCCTCAGTGTAGGTGCCTGGTGCCTTAACCACTGTGCTATGGGTGCCAAGCCTAGAATATTTTCATCACCATTGCCCTCCCCAGAACAACTCCTACCCATATCCTTATCAGTCATTCCCCATTCTTCCCTTCCCCTGGCCCCTGACAGTCACTAACCTACTATCTTGTTTCTATATATTTGCCATTTCTGGACGTTTTACATATATGGAATCATATGTGGTCCTCTGTGTCTGACTTATTGCACTTAGCACGATGTTTTTAGGGTTAATTCATGTTGCAGCACAGATCAGCACTTCTTTTTTTTTTTTTTT